GCACAGAGGACACACCAGTTGCTTGATGTGATCCAGGAGGGATTCAAAGATGTAAAGGCTACACAGTCTCCTGGGTGGCAAGGGATGTGTCTAAGGCAGAGAACCAGAACTGCAAGGGCATGGAGGCAAAGAAGGGTCCTGTGTTTCCAAATCTGAAAAATAACCATGAATTGTATCCTTTTGCTAGGGCTGCCATAACAAAATAGCACAGGTGAGAAGGCTTCAACTACAGAAATTTACATTCTCACAGTGCTGGAGATTGAAGGTGTGAGATCAAGGTGTCAGCAGCGCTGCTTTCTGCCCGGGCTTCCCGACTCGGCTTGCAGATGGCCACCTTCTCTGCATTCTCACCTGGTTTTGTGATGTGTACTTGCATTCCTGGCGTTTCTCTGTTTGTCCAACAGGTATCTGTTGTATCTAAGTGTTGTTATAATGTTGGGATAAGCCTGTGTGCCTAAAAGAAGAAGCTTACATGTGGGTTGGTGAGGGCAGTGTGCAGGTCTCAGCTCTACATAGAGTTTTTGTTCCTTAGAAAATGTATTTTTTCTCTGGTTTTGTGTCAGTCCCTTGTCTGGAACTCCCTGGGGTGCTACCTGCCTCTCTGCTTTTCTCACTGAAGCATGAAGCTAGTGCTGCCCATTCTGCTGCAGGAAAGGACTCTGCCACCCCTTCCGTTCCAGAGGATGCTTGTACATCTGCCTCCAGCCAAGTTTAAAATATGAGCATCAGAATGTTCTTCTGATGGGTTCCTCTTGACCTCTTCCAAGCTAACCTAGAAAGAACGACATATTTGAGGCTAAAACACCCTTTCTACCTGAACGCTGGCCTTGGCTTCTGACTTTTCCAAGGGGAGCAAAAGCATCTGCTGAGGAAGATTCCAATGTGCAGGTTGAGATCTCCTTGACTGATATTTTAAAAATCTGAGTTGTTAGGGTGGGTTGATCACAAAGACAATCGAAGGACAAGCCTTATTGCACAGGGTCAAGGTCATGATCCTGATCAATGACAGAGAAGAAAGGAGGCAGAGCCCTGACCCCCGCATGCCCCATGCTCTGTATACTTGAATGAGCCATGGACATAACTGAGGCCAATGCAGGAACTACTGTCCCTCATGTGAATCATTGCCCGTGTCCCCAACACACACGATGAGAAAGACACTTGGTCTTGAGACCACAAACAGTGTAATCACTGGTGTCACTGAAGCAGGACAGATGCTAGGACAGTAGAAGCAGAGGGTGCCCGTGCCTGGCTGCAACTCATTCAGCAGGGATTAGTGCCTCACCTGACACACTGTCATCCCGGAGCAGAGATGGGTTTGATTTAGTTTCATTTTTATCATTGACATTTCAAAGACATTCTGCAATTTGGATCTGTATTTCCACTGTGATCCAATGGTGGTTTAATAGGATCCTTGTAAATTCACAGATTATTTTCAAGGTGTTTTATTTTATTATTGTATGGTTATTGATTTCTAGCTTTATCCTACTCTGGTTGGAGAATGCTGTGGATGTTAGTTCTGATATTTTTAATTTAGTGAGGTTTTTATTGTGGCACAAGATATGTTCATCTCATAATTGATATGGTTTGGCTGTGTCCCCACCCAAATCTCATCTTGAATTGTAGTTTCCATAATCTTCCCTATGTATCATGGGAGGGACCTGGTGGGAGGTAGCTGATCATGGGGGAGGTTCCCCCCATGCTGTTCTCCTAAGAGTGAGTGAGTTCTCATGAAACTCACTCACTGGTTTTATAAGGAGCTTTTTTCCCACTCCACTCTGCACTTCTCTCTCCTGCTGCCCTGTAAAGACGGATGTGTTTGCTTTCCCTTCTGCCATGATTTAAGTTTCCCGAGGCCTCCCCAGGAATGTGGAACTGTGAGTCAAGTAAGCCTCTTTCAGTTATAAATGACCCAGTTTTGGGCAGCTCTTTATAGCAGCATGAGACTAGACTAAAACAATAAAGTTCAATGTGCACTTGAAAAGAAGGCAGATTTTTCATTATTGGATTTTACAGCTTCAATATATACTTATGTGTTCTAGCTTACTGATAATGCTGGTTTTCTACATCCTTATTCATTTTTTTGGTCCATTTGATTTCCATAGGTATGGGAGAGATGTTTTAAAATAGCCAAAAATATTAATAACATATCTTCATTGCATATTATAGCAGTAAACATGAACTCTCCTTTGTTCTTTTAATGGCTTCTCAATTATGTTAAGATGTTGAATAGCAATATATCATAACACGTTTCTTTTGCATTTGCCTTGCATGTCTTTTTTCTCAATGAGAAAGTTTGTTCTATTTTTTATTTACTAGTCTTAGGGTGGTCCAGAGAAACAGGCCCAGTAGGAGGATAGATGTTGATATAGATATAGAAGAGAGATTTATCAGAGGAATAGGTGCCAAGAAGTCTCACAATCCACCATGTGCGAGGTGGGGAACCAGGAAAGCCAGTGGTATAGTTCGATCCAAGTCCACAGGCCTAAGAAACTTGAGGGCAAGGGAAGTCAGGCAGGCAATAATAGTGTAAGTCCTAATCTGAAGGCCTGAGAACCAGGACTAGTGATGTCTGAGGATGGAAGTCCCAGTTCAAACAGGAAGCAAACGTGTCTTTCCTCAATCTTTTTGTTCTATCTGTGCCCCCAACAGACTGGATGATGCCCACCTACATTGGTGAGGGCTGGTCTTTCCTCACTCTACAGATTCAAATGCTCATCTCCTTTGGAAACCACCTTCTCGGACATGCCCCAAAACTGTTTTAACAGCTATCTGGGCATCCCTTAGCCCAATCAAATGGAGGCATAAAATTAACGATCACAATACAGTAGTCCATATTTCCTCTGAGTGTTTTCATCATTGTCCTATAGCTATGCAGTCAAAATATAACACTATAATCTATTTACTTCTTCGCTCTATCACGTGGTCTTAGTTGTACTGCAAGTATATTATATGCCCAGTGTCCGTCTTTATATAATAGCTCTCAAATCATTTGGCAGGCTCGTTTATTCTGTAGTAGATTCCTTAGAAAAGGTTTGTGGCAACAAAAATTTCTGAGCTCTAGTATGTTCATAAAGTTGAATGTGGCCTTTACAATTTGAGGTCAGTTTGGCTGGAGGTAAAATACTTGGCATAAATTTTCTTTCTGGAAATATTAAGTATAGGATTCTGTTTTCTTCTAGCCTAAAGCACCTCTGTTAAAATGTCTGAGTTTAAACTAATTTTCTTTTTCTTAGGAATGATATGACCTTTTCGCCTGGATGTTCAAGGGATTTTTTTCTTTTTCTTTAAGCCAAGTAGTTCTGTTGAAACAGTGGCTCTCAAAGTGTAATCAATTAACAACACATGGGATTTCAAAAGCTGGAAGAAGCTTATCAATTTCCAGGTATGGAAATATCTCTGTATTTGTGGGAGTGTGTGTATGCTATGAAAATATATACATGCATATATTCACATATAAATATATACACACATATCTACACATATATTTATAGTATACTAATTAAATCTTAATGATCCATGAAAAGAGAATGGGAGGCCGAGTGTAGTGGCTCACACTTGTAATCCCAGCACAGCGGGAGGTTGAAAGGGGAGGATCACTTGAGCCCAGGAGTTTGAAACTGGCCTGGGAAACATAGTGAGACCCCTTCTCTACAACAAATATAAAAATTAGATGGGCATGGCAACTTGTACCTAGGGTCCCAGCTACTCAGGAGGCTGAGATGGGAGCATGACTTAAGCTAAGAAGGCAGAGGTTGCAGTGAGCCAAGGTCACACCATTGCACTTCGGCCTGAATGACAAAGTAGTAACTTGCCTCAAAAAAAAAAAAAAAGAAAAAGAAAAAATTGGTATCCCAGAAAACTTTAAAATATCTATATATTCACAAATGCATATAATCATAGTATATTAATCAAAAAGTAAATCCTTAATACTTCATGGCAAGCAAACAACAGGCCATGGATGATGCCTCATGCTTGTAATCTCAACGCGTTGAGAGGCCCAGGCAAGAGGAGTGCTTGTGTCCAAAAGTTTAAGACCAGCCTAAGCAACAGAGTGAGAACCAACCTCTCAAACAAAATCAGAAATTAGTCAGGGATGGTGGCAGATGCCTGTGGTCTACGCTACTCAAGATGCTGACTTGGGAAAATCAGTGGAGGCCAAAAGGCCATGGCTGCAGTGGAGCCATGATCACATAATGACATTCCAGCCTGGGTGACAGAGCAAGACCCTAAGGGAAAAAAAATTAACTGTATAAAATATAAAAAAAGAAGACATGAAATGAGAAGCTACCATGTCCAGGGCAGAGACAAACAGCCCAAGCAGAGGCCCATTCCCCGCCGAACCCCAGAACACAAGAAAAACCATGAGACACTAAATAAAAGAGACATCACTGTAAAAAGACACAGGCGGAATTTACTAAAAATCTGTCAAAACTACACTCTCCAGGTTAAAAGTAGAGACAGGTGTTCAGCCAAGGCACACTGCTAAAAAGTGGGCAAATGAGAGTCCAGGGAAGCTTTGGGCTTTTTGATGCCATTGATGATCAAAGACCTATAGAGCTGGATCCAGAAGAGGCCACTGTGAGGCCAGCGCAGGGCAGAAAAAAACACTGAGGCAGGAGATGAGGCTGGAGTGTCCACTAAGAGGCAGAAGAGAAGCCTGCAGAGGCCATGGTGAGGCACAAGCTGGTGTAAGAAAGGCCACTGTGAAGAAAAAGCTGAATCTTGAGAGGCAGATGTGACACAGAGGATGGGGCTGAAGAGCCCACTGTGAGGCAAATGAAAGGCCTGCCAAAATGCCTGAAAAACAGGTAGTAACAAGGCCAGAAAAGGCCCATATAGGGAACAGCTGTGCTGAAGAGGGTGTGGTCAGGCAGGAGCTGGGTCTGTCCGGGCTGTCGGTAGGCTGAAGGAAGGCCTTGAAAGCCTGACTTGAAAAAAACTGAAGTCTACAGAGGCTGCTGGGAACTGGGCAGCAGCTGGGACAAATGTGGTTGTTGCAAAGCAGGAGTTGAGTCTGTAGACCCAGCGAGGAAGCAGAGCTGGGCCTGGGAAGCTGTCATGAGGGAGGCAGAGGCCGAGCCTGGAGAGGCCGGATGGGAGGCAAGAGCTGGGCTGAAGGAGGCCACTGCGAGGCAGGAGCTGGCCCTGGAGGGGCCCACGTCAGAAAGTTTTGCACCCAGAGAGGCCTCTGGGGGCCCACGTCAGAAAGTTTTGCACCCAGAGAGGCCTCTGGGAGGGCAGGCGCTGGGCCTGGAGAGGCCGATTTCAGGGCCGTTTAGGCCTGCCAGGGCCACTGGGAGGAGGCCAGAGCCAGGCCAAGAGAAACTGACTTGAGGAAGTTTTGGGCCTGGAGATGTTGTTGGAGGGCAGGAGCTGAGCCTGGAGAGGCCACTGTGAGGCATGAGCTGGGTGGGCCTGAGAGCTTGACTTGAGGACTTTTCAGGCCTACAAATTCCACCACGAACTGGGTGGGAGCTGACTGAGTCCACAGAGGTTGTTGTGAGGCGAGGCAGGAAGTGGGCCTATAGGTGCAGCTGGGAGGAAGAGCTGGGCCGGGAGAGGAAGACAAGAGGCAGCACCTGTGCCTGGAGAGGCCACGAGAGGCATGAGCTGAGCCTGGATGGGCCGCCAAAAGGCTTCCAAGAACTGGGCCTGGAAGGCCGCTGTGAGGAATGAGTTGGGCCTGCAGAGGCCACTGGGAGGCAGGAGCTGGGCCTGCAGAGGCTGCCAAGAGGCAGGAGCCTCCCTTCACCTGCGGAGACTGCAGAGAGGCATGACATGCACCTAAAGAGGCCATCAGAAAGGTAGGAGCTGGGTTTGTGCATGCTGCCACCAGGTAGGCAGGCAGGTAGAGATGGCCTGGGGAGGCCAACGTTGAGGGCAAGAGCTGGGCCTGGAGAGGCTGTTGTCAGGCAGGAGCTGGATTTGTTCGGGCTGCCAGGAGGCCTAAGGCGGACCTAAAAGGCCCAACTTGAGGAAGGCTGTGGCCTACAGAGGCTGCCGGGAGCCGGGCAGGAGCTGGGCCAAATGTGGTTGTTGTGAGACAGGAGTTGGGACTGTAGACACAGCTGGGAGTAAGAGCTGTGCCTGGAGAGGCTGACTTGGAAATGTTCTGGGCCTGGAGAGGATGCCCAAAAGCCAACGCTGGGCCGGGAGAGGCTGCCAGGAGTCACCAGCTTGGCCTAAAGAGGCACCAGCTGGGCCTGAGAGAGGCCTTGATGAGGCCAAGAGCTGGGCCTGGAGGGTCCACTGAGAGGCAGAGGCTGGGCCTGGAGGGTCCTACTACAGGCAGGAGCCAGGCCTGGAGAGGCCCACGAGAGGAAGCTTTGGGCCTGGAGAGGCCACTGGGAAGCAGGAGCTGGCCCGGGAGAGTCCGTCAGAGGCATAAGCTGAGCCTAGATGGCTGGGCCAGTGTGAGGGAGGACCTGGGCCTACACTGGAGGCCAGAGCTGGGCCTGGAGAGGCTGCCAGAGGCATGAGGTGGGCCTCAATGGGCCACTGTGAGGGAGGACCTGGGCCTGTGGATGCAGCCGGGAGGCAGGCAGGAACTTGGTTTGGGGAAGCTGCCGCCAGGCAACTGGTCCTGGGGAGGCTGCAGGGAGGCCAGAGCTGGGCCTGGAGCGGCCACTGTCAGGCAGGAGCTGGGCCTGTCGAGGCCACCAGGAAGCAAAAGGTAGGAAAAGCTTTTGCTTATCCTACTGGAAAGTTCCACTTGAGGAAGCTTCAGGCCTACAAAGGCAAGGTCACCAGCTGCTGGCCAGTAGCTGAAACAAAAAAGACTGTTGTGAGGCAGGACTTGGGCCAGGAGGAAGAGCTGGGCCTGGAGAGGCCGCCATGGGGCTATGAGCTGGGTGGGCCTGGAGACCTTGACTTGAGGATTTTTTGGGCCTACAAAGGCCCCCAGGAGCTAGGCAGGAGTTGAGTCGACAGAGTTTTTTGTGAGGCAAGAGGTGGGCCTGTCGATGTAGCCAGAAGGTAGAGCTGGGCCCAGACTGGACGCCAGGAGACAGCATCTGGGCCGAAGAGGCCACAAGAGGCGTGAGCTGTGTCCAGAGAGGCTTCCAAAAGGCTTTGAGAAGTAATGGATGGGTTCTACAGAGGGTTTTCTCAAGCTAAAGCTAGGCCTTTACATTCCACTGGGAGACAGACGTTGGGCCTGGAGAGGTGAACTTAAGGATGGTTTGGGCCTATAGTGGTTGATGGCAAATGGGTAGGAGCTGGGCCAAGAGAGGTTTTTACGAGACACCAGGTGTGCTCTATAGTCAGCTAAGATGTACAGTTGGGCCTGGAGAAGCCGTCATGTGGCAGAGGCCGAGTTTCTAAAGGCCAGTGGGAGGCAGGATCTGGGCCAGAAGAGGTGAACTTGAGAGGGATTTGGGTGTTCAGAGGCCACCAGGAGGCAGTAGGTGGGCCTAGAGAGGCTGACTTGAGGAAGTTTTTTGGCCTGAGGTGCCATTCTGGGACAAAAGCTGCATCTGGAGATGTTACTGTGAGGGATAATCTTTGGGTAGAGAGGCCAGTGTGAGGCAGGACCTGGGCCTACCCAGGCTGCTGGGGACAGGCAGCAACCTGGCCAGGGAAAGTTGCCTTAAGGCAAAAGCTGGGTCTGAAAAAACTCCTGTGAGGCAAGAGCTTGGCTTAAACAGGCCACTGGGTGGCAGGAACTGGGCATGTAGAGGCTGCTGAAAGGCAGTAGCTTGGCTTGGTGGGGCCATGGTGAGGCAGATGCTGGGCATGAAGAGTCTGCTGTGGTAGAGGCAGATGGGAGCCAGGAGAGGCTGCCAGCATGCAGTGGCTTTGCCTGGGGAGGCTGCCAAGAGGCATAAGCTGGGCCTAAAGAGCCTAGTGTGAGGCAAGTGCTCAGCCTGGAGTGGCCAACTTCAGGAAGATTCCAGCCTGGAGAGCATGTCAGGGGCAGGAGCTGGGCCTGTTAAGGCTGCTGAAAGGCAGGAGCTTGGACTGTTGGCACTGCAATAAGGCAGTTGTTGGGCCTGGAGAATCTGCTGTGAGGCAGAGTTTGGGCCTGTAGAGGCCAATGGGAGGCAGGATTTGGACCTGGAATGGCCGATTTGAGAAAGTTGTCTGGTGAGGCTGAGATGCAGGAACTGGGCCCCAGGAGGCCACAGAGAGGCATGAGTTGTGCCTAAAGAGGCCAGTGAGAGGCAGGAGCTATGCCTAGAAAGGCCAGCTTGAGGAAGTTTTGGGCCCAGACAGCCTGTCAGGGGACAGGAGCTGGGCCTGCAGAGGCCACCATGAGATATGCCTAATGAGGTTAGTGTGAGGCAAGACCTGGGTCTGTGGAGGCTGCCAGGAGGCGAGTAGAAACTTGTTGAGGGAAGACCTCTGTGAGGCACAAGCTGGGCCTGGAGAGTCCACTGGGAGACAAGAGCTGGGCTGGGGAGGCCACTGTCACTCACGAGCTGGGCTTGTCCAAGCCACTGGGAGGTAGAAGGTGGGCCTGGAGAGCTTGACTTGAGGCAGTTTGGGTTCTTAAAAGGCCACCAGGAGCTAGGCAGGAGCTGAGCCAAAAGAGGTTGTTGTGAGGCAGGCAATGGCCCTCTAGGCACAGCTGGGAGGAAAAGCTCGGCCTTGAGAGGCTGACTTGTGGACACTTTGGGGCCAAATAAGCCACCCAGTGGCAGGAGCTGGGACTAAAGAGGCCATCGTAGGGGAGCTGGGCCTGCCGGGAGGCAGAAGTTGGGCCTCAAGAGGCCACTGTAAAACAGGAGCTGGGTCTTGGTAGCTGGCCATGAAGCAAAAACTGGCCCTTGGGAGGCCAATGAGAGGCAGGAGCTGAGCCTGGTGAGGTTGACTTGAGAAGATTCTGGGCCTGGAGAGAAGGCTGGAAGGCAGGAGATGGGCCTTAAGAGTCCACTGTAATGATGGACCTGGGCCTGTGGAGGCTGCCATGAGGCAGTAGCCTCATCTGCAAAGACGACCATAAGGTGGGGTATGGGCCTAAATAGACCACTGTAAGCCATGATCTCAGCCTGTAGAGGCCAACTGGAAAAAGTTCTGGGCCTGGAGAGGCTGCTGGCAGGCAGGAGTGGAGCCAAGAGTCAAGCACATTACATGTATTGGGCACTTTATTTCCCTTATATAATGAAATATAGACCTCACCATAATGTGGAATTAGTAGGCATGTTAAGCTTGTTTTCCTGTGACTAGATGGTCCCATGTGAGTGTGATGGGAGAAAGTGACAGATCATCAGGCATTAGATTCTCACAGGGACCGTGCAACCTTGATCCCTTGCTTGCCTGGTTTGCAATAGGGTTCGTGCTCCTAAGGGAATCTAATGCTGCTGCTGACCTGAGAGAAAGCGGAGGTCAGGCGGTAACGTGAGCAACCGAGTGCTATAAATACAGATGAAGCTTCCCTCGCTGGACACCACTCGCCTCCTGCTGTGTGGCTCCTTACAGCTCCATGGCTCAGAGGTTGGGCACCCCTGCTCAAGTACATCCAAGAGGACCCTTTCCATACCAGTCATTATAGTGGTCAATTGCAGCAACCACTTTGCTCCCAAAGCATGTGCCTGAGCTGGCATTTCATCATAATCAACAGGAAGTGGTAGCTTGAGTCACTTCCTGAAAATCACCAGCATCCCATTTCCCATTGGCAAGGAGCTCAGCACTGCCCCTTGGATAACCAAACCTGTGCCCAAATCCCATCTGCATGGGTCTGTCTCCTGGGACCCTTCCTAGTATCAACCCTGTATTAGTCAGAGTCCAATCAGGAGACATAAACCACTCAAAAGGTTAAAGTGGTAAAATTTAATACAGAGAATTACTCATGATAACAGGGGACCAGCATAATGAGAGATTGGCTAGCACAAAGCAAAGAGAACTCTAGGGAATATATAGGACTAGCCAAGGCCAGGCATGGTGGCTCATGCCTCAAATTCCAGCAACTTAAGAAGCCAACACAGGACAATTGCTTGAGGCCAGGAGCTAGAGACCAGCCTGGGAAACACAGCAAGACCCTGTCTCTGTTCAAAAAAAGAAAAAAATTAGCTGGGTGTGGTGGTGCACACTTGTAGTCCCAGCACCTCAGGAAGCTGAAGAGGGAGGGTAGTTTGAACCTGGGAGGTCAAGGTTGCAGTGAGTTATGATTATCCCACTACAGGCAAGCCTGGGTGACAGAACAAGACCCTGTCTCAAAGAACAAAACAATGAAGACAACCATTTACAAACAGAAAAGAAATAGAGCTAATAGGGTGGTCCGAGTGCAGTGGTGTTTACAACTAATTGATCATAACCAGTTACAGATTTCTCTGTTCCTTCTCCACTCCCCCTGCTTCACTTGACTAGCCTTTAAAAAAAAAAAAAAAGAAAGAAAAAAGGAAAAAAAAAGAAAAGAAATAGAGCTAATAAGCTAAGATAAGGAAAAATGTTGAAATGTGATGAAGCAACATGAAGTCTTTTATCTATTTAAAATAACATATAATACCACGTGTTGGCAAAGGTATAGTGAAATGGCACTTTCTTAAACTATGGGGTAAGGGCGGGTATTTAAATTGTATATAAGCCTTCCAAGGTAAAGCTTGGCAGTTTTTTTAAAATCAGAGACAGTATCTCACCATACTGCTGGCCTCAAGCAATCCTCCTGCCTTAGCCTCCCTCATTAGCCTTAGTGCTGGGATTATAGCTGGGAGGCACCCAAAACCTTGTCAATTTATATCCAGGGCAATGAGAATGACCATTCACCACGACTCACAATAATCTCATTTCTGGAAATACCTTGGGAGACAATTCAATCTAAACAAAAGGTCATCTGCACAAACACTGAAAATCTGGGAGTAATTCAAGACAGAGTGGTTAAATGAAATGAGAAACAGTTATAAGAAATTAAAGGTATTTATAGGCACCTGGTAAAAGATTAGTTAGTGCTAGTTTTTTGTTGTTTTGAGACAGGGTCTCTGTCACTGAGGCTGGAGTGCAGAGGCCTGATTGTGACTCACTGCAGTCTCAGCCTCCCTGGACCCAAGTAGCTAGGACTACAGGCACATGCCACCATGCTAGGCTAATTCATGTATTTTACCATAGGGATGGTGACTCCCTTTGTTACTGTGGCCTATCTCAGACTCTTGGCCTTAGGCCGTCCTCCTGCCTCAGCCTCCCAAAGTGTTGTGATTACTGGTGTGAGCCACCACACCAGGCCAGCTGATACTTTTATTATTATTATGCCACTCAATTAAAAATTATTTGGCATTAAAGCTATCATTTTCTAGGCTATGGGACAATATGTGTCCTACAGCATAATTTTTAAAACATACACAGTCATCCCTCAGTATAGAGGATTAGTTCCAGCCCCGCACCTCAGCATGTACCAAAATTCATGCATACTCATGTTTCACAGTCAGTCCTCTGGAACCCACATATAGGAAAAGTCCAAATATTGGTTGGGCATAGTGGCAACCACCTATAGTCTGAGCCATTTGGAAAGCTGAGATGGGAGGGTCGCTTGAACCTGGAAGATTATGGCTGCAGTCAGCTGTGATAGCACCACTGCTCTCTAGCCTGGACAACAGAGCAAGACCCTGTCTCAGAAAAAAAGAAAAAGGTTAGAAATTGTAATAATGTCTGTCGGGGAACATTCCAAAAGCTAAGTATAAATTGTAGTGTGGAGACCCCGTAACGCCGAGGCAGGAGCAGAAGGCCTCAGCCTGTTTCCACATAAATAATGAAGAAGAAAGTAATTAGAAGTATAACCGTGGTAGTTATTAGTTATTCATACGTGATCTTAGTTATTCATAGGTGATCTTATGTCTTTTACTAATGCCTCTCAGGTCAGCAGTGTGAACCTGGGGTGACATTGTGAAATGAATGACACGAAGGCAGGATGCTCTAAGCCCTCTGTCACGCCCGCCCACATAAGGGCTGCTGGAGGGCGCCTCGGCTATGTGGCAGCACCAGCGCCAGTGCTGTGACAATGCCAAAATGGCCAAGACGTCTCCTTCCTGGGGAAGCGTGGAGAAAACTCCGCTTCTCCAAGCTCTTGGGGTAAGGCCTGGCAGCTGTCAGGCAGGCCCGCAGACATCCAGGGCTTAGCTATGTGATGCTGAGCTTCAGTGGTCACATTCCATGTCTACTCTTACATTCTACTTCTGCACCCAGTTCCTTTTGTCTTAGCAAAGACAATCAGTCATAGTAATAGAAATCTTAAATGTTTTAGTTTTTTCTTGATAAGTATGGAAAAAGTGCTGATGCATTTTGCTCCTTACCTCACTTCAGGTGCCAGAAATTCCCGAGCCCCTACCTTCATGTCACGTGATCTACTTAACCCTATCACTGCCACGCCCTATCTACCCTGCCCCCAGTCTCTACCATGCCCTACCTACCCTGCCCCCAGTCTCTACCTTGCCCTATCTACCCTGCCCCCAGTCTCTACCATGCCCTACCTACTCTGCCCCCAGATTTGCAACTCAATAAAAGTGAGAGCATCATTTGGGGCCACTGCTGGTCTCTGCAATTTGGGTAGCATTGGACCCCTGGGCCCAAACTCTCCTTTTCTCTATCTCTGTTTCTCGTGTTTTTATTTCTACAATTTCTCATCTCTGCACCAGCCAGGAGCGGCTCATAGAACCCTGTAGGGCTGGACCCTATGTGAATTAATGAAGCAAATGGTGATAAATTAGTACAACTGACTTTCTGGAGTTTCTGACAATAAAGGTAAGAAAAATGCAAAACACAGGAGAGCATAAAAAAATAAATTAGGGAAGCATTCCACGTGTATAACAGGATGCCCCGGGCCGTGTGTGTGCAGCAGCAGTATGTCACGACATGACATACCTTAGAGAGAAGTTAACAGATGAGGAAATGGATAAAAATGATCAGAGGATCAAAATACTGATAGCGATAGTCGAGCAAACCCAGAAGAATCTCCCTGACCGATGTCGGAAAAGGGGGAATATTACAGTGTGTGCTGAAGTTCCTGTACAATATTGTTTATTTGCTTTTTGTTTGTAAAAAATGTATCTACTAAAAGTTTTTCTTACTGTCAAAAAACTGTGGGATTAAATCATTATAATTGATTCTTCTGTTTATTTTTAAATTTATTATTGTACTTTAGGTTCTGGGGTACATGTGCGGATCATGCAGGATTGTTGCATAGATACAAACATGGCAAGGTGGTTGCTGCCTTCACCCCCAAATCACCTACATCTGGTGTTTCTCCACTCATTATCCCTCCCCACCCTCCCCACCCCTCACTGTTCCTCCCCTAGCCCCCCCTCCCCAACTGACCACAGTGTGTGATGCTCCTCTCCTTGTGTCCACGTGTTCTAACTGTTCAACACCTGCCTATAAGTGATAACATTCGGTGTTTGGTTTTCTGTTCTTGTGTCAGTTTGCTGAAAATTATGGTTTCCGTATTCATCCATGTCCCTATGAAGGACATGAACTTATCATTTTTATGGCTGTGTAGCATTCCATGGTGTATATGTGCCATATTTTCTTTATCCAGTCTATCATTGATGGGCATTTGGGTTGGTTCCAGGTCTTTAGTATTGTAAACAGTGCCGAAATGGACATAGGTGTGCATGTGTCTTTAAAATAGAACAATTTATAATTCTTTGGATATATACCCAGTAATGGGATTGCTGGATCATATGATATTTCTGTTTCTAGTTCCTTGAGGAATCACCACACTGTCTTCCATATGGTTGAACTAATTTACACTCCCACCAGCAGTGTAAAAGTGTTCCTATTTCTCCCCATCCTCTCCAGCATCTGTTGTCTCCAGATTTTTTAATGACTGCCATTCTAACTGGAGTGAGATGGTATCTCGATGTGGTTTTGATTTGCATTTCTCTAATAACCAGTGATGATGAGCATTTTCCCATATGTTTGTTGGCTTCATATATTGTCTTCTTTTGTAAGTGTCTATTCATATCCTTTGCCCACTTTTGAGTGGGTTTTTTTGTGTGTGTGTGTAAATCTGTTTTAGTTCTTTGTAGATTCTGAATATTAGCCCTTTGTCAGATGGGGAGATTGCAAAAATTTTTCCCATTCTGTTGGTTGCCGGTTCTCTCTAATGATTGTTTCTTTTTTGCTGTACAGAAGCTCTGGAGTTTAATTAGATCCCATTTGTGTATTTTGGCTTTTGTTTCCATTGCTTTTGGTGTTTTAGCCATGAAATCCTTGCCTATGCCTATGTCCTGAATGGTTTTGCCTAGGTTTTCTTCTAGGGTGTTTTATGCTGTTAGGTCTTATGTTTAGATCTTTAATCCATCTGTAGTTAGTTTTAGTGTAAGGTCTCAGGAAGGGCTCATTTCTGCTTTTTGCCCATGGCTAGCTAGTTTTCCCAACACTATTTATTAAACAGGGAATGCGTTCCCCATTGCTTGTTTTTCTCAGGTTTGTCAAAGATCAGATGATTGTAGATGTGTGGTGTTGCTTCTGAGGCCTCTGTTCTGTTTCATTGGTCTATGTCTGTTTTGGTACCAGTACCATGCTGTTTTGATTACTGTGTCCTCGTATAGTTTGAAGTCAGGCACCATGATGCCTCCAGCTTTGTTCTTTTTGCTTAGGATTGTGTTGGCTGTGTGGGCTCTCGTTTGGGTCCATATGAAATCTAAAGTGGTTTTTTCCAATTCCGTGAAGAAGGTCACTGGTAGCTTGATCAGGACAGCATTGAATCTGTAAATTACTCTGGGCAGTATGGCCATTTTCATGATGTTGATTCTTCCCAACCATGAGCATGGGATGTTTTTCCATCTGTTTGTGTTTTCTCTCATTTCACTGAGCAGTGGTTTGTAGTTCTCCTTGAAGAGTCCTTCACATCCTTTGTTAGGTGTATTCCTAGGTATTTTATTCTCTTTGTAGCAATTGTGAATGGGAGTTCACTTTGGATTTGGCTCTCTGTTTGTCTGTTATTAGTGTATAGAAATACTTGTGATTTCTGCACATTGGTTTTGTATCCTGAGACTTTGCTGAATTTGCTTATTCAGTTTCAGAAGATTTTGGGCTGAGATAATGGGGTCTTCTAAATATACAATCATGTTATCTGCAAATAGAGACAATTTCACTTACACTTTTCCTAATTGAATGTTCTTTATTTCTGTTTCTTGCATGATTGCTCTGGTTAGAACTTTCATACCATATTGAATAGGAGTGGTGAGAGAGGGCATCCTTGTCTTGTGCCAGTTTTCAAAGGGAATGCTTCCAGTTTTTGACCATTCAGTATCATATTGGCTGTGGGTTTGTCATAAATAACTTTTATTATTTTGTGATACGTACCATTGATACCTAGTTTATTGAGGGTTTTTAGCATAAAGGGCTGTTGAATTTTGTCGAAGGCCTTCTCTGCATCTATTGAGATAATCATGTGGTTTTTGTCTTTGGTTCTGTTTATGTGATGGATTACGTTTATAGACTTGTGTATGTTGAACAAGCCTCGCATCCCTGGGATAAAGCCTACTTGATCCGGATGAATAAGCTTTTTGGTATGCTGTTGCATTCTGTTTGCCAGTATTTCATTGAAGATTTTTGCATCGATGTTTATAATGAATATTGGCCTGAAGTTTTCTTTTTTAGTTGCCCCTCTGCCCGGTTTTGGTATTAGGTGATGTTGGTCTGATAAAACGAGTTGGAGAGGATTCCCTCTGTTTGTATTGTTTGGAATAGGTTCAGAAGGAATGGTAACAGCTCCTCTTTGTACATCTGGTAGAAATCGGCTGTAAATCCGTCTGGACCTGGGCTCTTTTTAGTGGGTAGGCTATTAATTACTGCCTCAACTTCAGCCTTTGTTATTGGTCTATTCAGGGATTCAACTTCTTCCTGGTTTAGTCTTGGGAGAGTGCAAGTGTCCAGGAATTTATCTACTTCTTCCAGATTTACTGGTTTGTGTGCACAGAGTTGTGTGTACTAATCTCTGATGGTAGTATGTATTTCTATGGAATTGGTGGTGATCTCCCCTTTATCATTTTTTATTGCATCTATTTAATTCTACTCTCTTTTCTTTTTTATTAGTCTGACTAGTGGTCTACCTATTTTGTTGATCTTTTCAAAAAACCAGGTCCTGAATTTGTTGATTTTTTTGAAGGGTGTTTTGTATCTCGAGCTCCTTCAGTTCTGCCCTGACCTTGGTTATTTATTGTCTTCTGCTAATTGACAGAAGACAATTAGCTTTTGCATTTGTTGGATCTTGCTCCCTTTCAATTTTCATGCTAGGATGTTAATTTTTGACCTTTGTTTGCTCCTCATGTGGGCTTTTATTGCTATGAATTCCCCTCTAGACACTGCTTTAAATGTGTCCCAGAGATTCTGGTACATTGTGTCTTCATTGTCATTGGTTTCAAAGAGCATCTTTATTTCTGCCTTCATTTATTATTTATCTAGTCTGCGTTTAGAAGCCAGTTGTTCATTTTCCATGAAGTTGTGCAGTTTTGGTTTCTGAATCCTGAGTTCTAACTGGATTGCACTGTGGTCTGAGAGACTGTTATGATTTCTGTTCTTTTGCATTTGCTGAGGAGTGATTTACTTCCAATTATGTGGTCAATTTTAGAGTAAGTGTGATGCTGTGCTGAGAAGAATGTATATTCTGTGAATTTGGGATTAATAGTTTTGTAAATGTCTATTAAGTTTGCTTCGTCCAGATCTGCATTCAGGTCCTGGATTTCCTCGTTCATTTTCTATCTGGTTTATCTGTTTAATATTGACCGTGGAGTGTTGAAGTCTCCCACTATTATTGTGCAGGAGTCTAAGTCTTTTTGTAGGTCATTAAGGACTTGCTTTATGTATCTAGGTGCTCCTGTATTGGGTTTGTGTCTATTTATGATTGTTAGTTCTTCTTGTTCTATTTATCCTTTTTACCATTATGTAATGCCCTTCCTTGTCTCTCTTGATTTTTGTTGGTTTAAAGTCCATTTTATCAGAGACTAGGATTGCCACCCCTGCTTTTTCTTTGTTCTCCATTTGCTTGGTAAATCTTCCATCCCTTTATTTTTAGTCTACTTGTGTCTGTGCACATGAGATGGGTCTCCTAAATACAGCACACCAGTGGTTCTTGGCTTTTTATCCAATTTGCCAGTCTGTGTCTTTTGATTGAGGCATTTAGCCCATTTACATTTGGTGTTAATATTGTTGTGTGTGGATTTGATCCTGCCATTTTATTACTGGTTGGTTGTTTTGCTCTTTGGTTGGCATAGTTTTTTCATTGCATCATTGGTCTTTATTACTTGGTTCTTTTTTGCAGTGGCAGGTACTGGTTTTTCCTTTCTGTGTTTGGTGCTTCCTTCAGGAGCTCTTGAAGGGCAGGTCTGGTAGTAACAAAATCTCTCAGCAATTGCTTGTCTGTAAAGCATTTCATTTCTCCATCACTTATGAAGCTTAGTTTGGCTGGACATGAAATTCTGGGTTGAAAGTTCTTTTCTTTAAGGATGTTGAATATTGGCCCCACTTGCTCCTGGCTTGTAGGGTTTCTGCCGAGAGATCTGCTGTGAGTCTGATGTGCTTCCCTTTATGGGTGACTTGACGTTTCTCTCTGGCTGCCCTTAGTATTTTTTCATTCATTTCAACTCTGGCGAACCGGACAATTATGTGCCTTGGAGTTGCTCTTCTAGAGGAGTATCATTGTGGTGTTATCTATATTTCCTGTGTTTGAATATTGGCCTGCCTTGCTGGGTTGGGGAAGTTCTCCTGCATAGTATTCTGAAGAGTGTTTTCCAGCTTGGACTCATTCTCCCTGTCATCTTCCAGTGCCCCAATCATGCGTAGGTCTTTTCATGTAATCCAATATTTCTTGAACGCTTTGTTCATTTCTTTTCACTCTTTGTTCTCTTTTCTTGCCTTCTCATTTTATTTTATTGAGTTGATCTTCAATCTCTGATACCCTTTCTTCTGCTTGATCTATTAGGATATTGAAACTTGTGTATGCTTCATGAAGTTCTTGTGCTGTGTCTTTCAGCTCCATCAAGTCGTTTATGTTCATCTCTAAGCTAGTTATTCTAGTTTTTCATCTAACCTTTTTCATGGTTTTTAGATAGAACATGTTCCTTTAAGTCAGGGAAGTTTGTTATTACCCAACTTCTGAAGCCGCCTTCTGTCAGTTTGTCAAATTCATTCTCCATCCAGCTTTGTTCCCTTGTTGGTGAGGAGTCATTATCTCATGGTGGGGGAGAGATGTTCTGGTTTTTTTGATGGTTTCATTCTTCTTGCTCTGGTCTCTCCCCATTTCTTGGATTCATATGGTTTTGATCTCAGGTAGCTGCTTGGTGGGGCCGCCTTTCCTTTGCCTGCAGAGGTGCTTCTGGGCTGCCACAGATTCAGTGGAGCTGCTGCATTTTTTATTTACTCAGGAAAATTAGGCTGGCTTCTGCAGTGGCGGCTTCCCTTCCACCCACTGAACTGGATTGCTCCTGGTCACTCTCTGGTGTTCTGGGTGCCTAACTCTGGAGTGAGAGTTTTTTGGCCTGCTGGGCCTTGTGTGGTGGGGGGAACCATCCTGTCATTTGGGCTGTTTCCCTGCATTCCATTCTCCTTCTTACTAGGGGGGGCAGCTAGCTCCATCCCACTGGCTTTTTAGCTCTCTCAGCATCAGCCAGTGCTTCTGCCTAGATCTATGCTGAAAGCCCCGGCACCCCAAAGTTGCTGTTCTGCCCTGTTCAGGCAGCTCACTAAGGCTTTTAAGCTCAGTGAAGATCTCCTGTTCTGTGGGTTGTAGAGGGCTTGGGTAGAGCACTGTATCTGAACCGAAGTCCCAAAGGGGGAGATCCCCCAGTCTTGGAGATTGCTGAACTACATAGATCTGTAGCCCAGGGCAGATGCCTCCTCACCGCTGCTTCTTTTCATAATTCACTGATGGCCTTCCGATGTTCATGTAGACTGGGTGAGGGGCATGATTGACTGGCCAATCGGTCATGAAGTTCAGTTGGGTAATTGGAGGTGTGTCTATGCTGGGGCAGTTGATGGAGACTCCAGTTAGCTTGTTATTCAGGAGCAGGGATGTAGAGAGCTACTCCTGGTCATCTGAGGCCATCCTTTCAGGAATCTGTGCTTTCATAGATTGAAGATTTGAAGATTGGAGACTGCCATGGAGCCCTGCACAAGTGGAATCTGGAAGGCCATAGGAAGAAAGATATTTAGATAGTACTTAAGGAAATAGAGGTACAACTACCAGGACTCTGTTTTTTCAGCAGTCTTTCTTCTTGTATATCTGAGTGCCTATGAAGGTTTTTTTTTTTTTTTTGAGAGGGAGTCTCGCTCCGTCACCCAGGCTGGAGTGCAGTCGCATGATCTCAGCTCATCACAACCTCCGCCTCCAGGGCTCAAGCAATTCTCCTGCCTTAGCCTCCCTAGTAGCTGAAAATACAGGTGTTTGTCACCACACCTGGCTAATGTTTGCATTATTAGTGGGGAAAGGGTTTCACCATGTTGGCCAGGCTGGTCTTGAGCTCCTGATCTCAAGTGATCTGCTCACCTCGGCCTCCCAAAGAGCTGGGATTTTAGGTGTGAGCCACTGCACCCGGCCCTACCTGTGGAAGATTTAAGGGCTTCCTAGCTAATGTGCACATGAAAAAGGTAGGACATATAAAGCATAATTGAATTTTTATTACCACTAATGTGTTAATCTTTCTGGGAAGAGTATTCTCAAAGAGAACATACAACTTTATTATTAGACCTTTGTGTGCTTAGCATTCACACATTTCAAATATTGCAGGTGATTCCCTGGACTGTTTTGGGACAAAGAAAAGCAATGGGACCTTCTTAAGTGGTTTCTGTGCTGAGGAATAAGACTGCCAATTTGAAGTGACACAGTTTAGTCTTTTAACCAGAGATAGATAATGGACAAGAGACAGTGGATCTTTCTACCTTGTTTTAGGTCATCAGGTTTCTTCCAGTTTAGGTAATAAAAGTTACGTCATTTATTAGTTGAATTTTAAGTACAAATTCAGGATAGATACTTTGTCAGGGTAAATTATCATCGGGCTCTGGTATATATTGGCTGTAACTATTTGCAGCTCAAGGTCAGTTTTTATTGAATATTGTGTATATTCAGACAGGTAGAGGAAGAAATAGGTAACCAAAATATATTTTTAGAACAGAGGCCATATCTTAATTATATCAAGAAACATTATTTAATGTACAGATGGCTGACCTTTACCCAGATTGTGTTTTTGTTTTTTGGAGGGATGTCGGGGTCCGGCACGTCTGCCGGGGGACTACCGACCCGCGGGAGTCCCCGAGACCGCCAACGTAGATGTCTCGTTCAACCTGAGAGAGAGAGTGCGCGGAAAAGAAAGAACATAGAAAAGTAGAGTCTGGAGGGCTGCGTGAAGATTATGGCCAAAACGCAGCAAATTTATTTTTGTGGGTTACAGCTTTTATACCTTTTGTCTTGTTTACATTTACCTCATCTCAGCAGAAAGAAACAAAGGGGAAAACAGAAAGGAAACAAACTCCATAAAATAGATATCCGGGGCTTGTGATATCCTGCTCAGGAAGCAGTTTAAGGGGGCTAGTGGTAGCAGTTTACATTTCAATGATTTTACATTCCAAAGATACAATGGCGCCCTTAAGGTGGCTGGTTAAACCTGTTTTTCATCAGGAGCTAAAACAAAGGCTTGGCTCCAGGAAAATATGGGCAGAGGTCTCTGCTCCTCTTAGACATTTCAATTGCAGCAAGTTTATTGCTTACACAGAAACTGAAAGGGGACATGGAAGCAGACAGCACAATGTCCTCATAAACTGCAGGCCTTTGCTTTGCATTCTGTTGTTGCTTTTAGTGAGTCAGCTTACGGCCCTGTCTCACTCGACAGCCCTCGAGGTGAGGAAATGCAGTACAGGTCCAGCAGCCAAACTGGGACGAGTCAACTAACTGTCTCGAGCTTTTGGCACGAACACCACAGAGGGAGAAGCTGAATATGAACTGGCAGTTAAAAATTTGTAAAGAAATCGACTTGCTCATTTTCATTGTATGTTTTTGCTCTGAGGTATTTTCCATGAACTGTTTGCTGATCCTTGCCCTGAGCCAGATGATGACCACTTGACTGTTGCCACCAAGGTAAAGTGGCCTCTTGTAACATTAATTTTCTCACTGCGTCAAGTTTTGCATATTATTTACTTTTAAAATTTAGCAGTGGTTTATCTATCTTTTTTCATGTTGGTAATACAAAGTTGGTCAGAGAAAAGCATAGATATGGCTAGTTGATTAAAAAAAAATTGTTTAACCTTGTTAACTAACAAAAGATTGATTAAGTACTGTGATGGGGTGGGCGCCAAAAGAAAATGAACTGGAAAATACATAGTGACAGGAGAATCACATTAGAAAATGCTTTCCCCAATAAAGGAAATATAAAATTTGGTTAAGGTTTGTTTGGATAAATATTAATGTCAGCTTTTAAATCATACTAGTGTTCCTTTCATAATATTTATGCCTGTATAAATCTTCAGTGAATCAAATTACTTGTAGTTATCATGGAATCTCCCTGGTACCTTTTGTTGGCAAACTGCACAGCACATAGCATACAGCTTTGTTTGCACATGGTGTCATATCGTTTTTAGAAAAGATTTTTTTTTGACTTATATTATTCTGTAGTGAGACTAAAATAATATTAAAATTTGTAGAAAAATAGCTGGATATGGTGGCCAGATTGTATCTGCTTTAAAAATATAAATTGTAGAAATGTAAATTTCTGTTATTGAAATTTGTACTACAAATGGATTTTTGTGTGTTTTATAAGTTGTCCATAAAGGGTATATGTAAAACACTTCACCTCATTAATAACATTTATTTTACTGCAAATAACCAGTTATATAAGCAGACTCTTAACACCAATATGGTAAGACTTCAACACCATAATTTTGTCATTGTAGCTTATTTAAAGTATCCACTCGAAGTCTTGATATTACATTCAGAAATCTAAAGTTTCAGATTTTTTTATATTTAGTTGTTTAATCACTGAAGTTCCTGCATACTCTGAGCTACTGGAAGTTATAGACATATTTGTGTGTATCCTGGAGCACCTGGAATACAGCCTTCCATGTAAGAAGCGTCGTAATTGTTGCTTTTTCGAGATGGAGTTTCACTCTGTCACTCAGGCTGGAGTGCAGTGGTGGGATCTTGGCTCACTGCAGTCTCCACTTCCTGGGCTTGGGTGATCCTTTCCCTCAGCCATCCAAGTAGCTGGAACTGTAGGCCTTTGTCACCATGCTTGGCTGAGTTTTGTGTTTTTTGTAGAGATGGGTTTTTGTAGAGATGGGATGTTGCCCAGGCTGGCCTTTAACTGTTGGATGCACATGATATGCCCACCTCAGCCTCTCAAAGTACGGGGGTTACAGGCATGAGTTGCCACATTCAGCCTTAATAGTTGTTTAATCTGAATAAATAGATGAATAAATTTTTATATAATGGAATGTTGTAAGTAATATACATAATGTATCTATTGATTAAATACTGCAGTTAAAAATATTGCTTACATTTGTATTATTATATAATGTTTAAGGATGTATAAGCTTAGATGTGTTATTTTGAGAAATTATGCCATAAATAAAAAGGAAATAAATTAGAAATAGATCATTAATAGCAAAGAGGGTTATATATTTTCTAATATAATTCAACTGGAATCTTGAATCATGATTTTAGACTAAAATTTCTTAAACATTTTATTAGCCCCAACTCATGCTCTAATAAATACACCTTTATAAGTCATGCATTACTCTTTAGAATTCTGGTGACCAATTCTTTCTCTGGGTGGAAAGTTGATGGAAAGTTCTAGTTTTCCCTCTCTGTACTAATAACAGTCAGGTAGTGGGAGATGATCATGGCTAGTTAATTGAATGTTTTATAGTAATCAAATTAAACTCTGTATCACAGAAATATTTGTTCAACACTATTCGTAGCATAAGTATTAACCTGTATCGTTAGGGCTACGAAGGAACAGAAGGCTCAGTTACATATCTATTTCTCCGCGTGCTTTGTTGTACGCCATGTTGTTTCTTTTCTCTCTCGGCCACAGCTCATATTACACTGACTAGTTAGGCCGCTTTGTTGTTTCTCCCTTCTTCCTCACGTTTTAAAAATGATTTATCCTCAACTAACTTTTTTCTGACAGATCTCATTTCTTTAGTGACTGGTCTTTCAGTCCATCCGTGTCTTCATTGTCAGCATACTTAGTTATGGCTTTCTCTTTACTTATCTATGTGTGGCTTTCATTCAACAATTACTGCCCACAAGATTTACTGGGTTTTTTTTTTTTTCCTTTTCTTTGGAAGAGCTGAATTTATACACTTATCTTTATCTTTTTGACAAACAGAATAAAAGCAATGAATACTATTTGCAATGCCAACCCACTTTTTAAATAAAATACTACTATAAACTAAATTCTCATTTTCCCCCACAAGAAGTGATTTATGCAAATAATTACCTCCTGCATATGCCGGTAATGAATGATTCTCATGTTTTTAGCTCATAATTAATAAAGTAATGATGTGCTAAGTAAATTATTGCTTCGTAGTATAATTCTGCTAATTTGCATGATTCATTTAAGAAGCAAGTGTAGTATAGTGCCAGAAAAATAAAGTTTAGAATTTGTGAAAAATCACATTGTGTTCTGAAAATGAGTTTATCTAAAATCTAAAGAATGATTTCAGGTCAAGCTGTGGCCAAATGTATCATTCTGTGGTATATCTGGAGGTGTAAAACCCAAAGGGGAATTAGAGAGAAACAGTTTGAATTGCAGTTTTTATTGAAATTGAAACTTGAAAAGATAATGCTGGGATTTTTGTATGTTTATATATTTTGATTGTCCAATATAGATCTACAATGAACAGTTTAGGAAAAAAACATGGGGAGTAGTAACTATGTGGGACTGTAATAACAATTTAGTGTTGTAGTAAGTGGAAGTCATTTTCAAAAAAGAGAAACACACTGAGTACTTTTGTGGCAGCCACACTTCTAGCAGCAGAAATATAAAAAAACATGGTGTATTCTAATGTTATGACTGTGGAGAGAAATGGGAGGGGCCTGACTTTTCACTACAAGCGGCTGGTGCATGGTTTTACTGGCACCAGTAGAAGTCAGGAGACCTGTTAGCATCCTGGCTCTGTCACTTACGAGGTATGGGACCGTGGAAAAATTCTTTGACTATCATTGACCTCGTTCATAAAAATGGTACTAATGGTACCTCTCAGGTATGTGTAATGAACAAAAGTAGTGGGAAATGTAAAAACATTTGTAAACTGGAAACTATGTTTACAAATATGAGACAAAATGATCACAGCGGTATTCAGTGACTTAGTAAAACTCAGTTTTTGTAAACCTGAAGGATGATAAAATGGCCATAGCATCAAGAAAAGGGTGGAAAAGTAGGCAATGGCATGGGGATTTTAAGGAAATTTTCAGTGTTTTGACCTAGAATTTATTTTGGTTATAGATCACAAAGTGTGCTAGTCAGTGAGACCTTGAATATACAAGATGAGATCTTATGCTATAGTGTAGGAGCAGAAAAACAAAGAGCAAACACTTCTCACTATAAATGCTTTCCATAAAGATAATAGAAAATGATAGAAGATATCAAGGAAGTTTGTAGTTAGTGTGGGATGGGAGAGGAATGGAAATCTGTGGTCAGAGAAGACCTCTCTGAGTATGATATTTAAGTGGCCAATGAAAGGATGAGAAAGACAGCCATGTGAAAGTTTCAGAGGAGGAAATTCTGAATGGAGAGAGCAGAGGATCACATCTATTCATTATTTTGCTCTTAACACCCTGGAATGGGCAGAAAGCCATTATCATAATTATTTTTTATGATTACAGTATGTACAAAAAATGTGAAATAGAATCGTGGCACATTTTAGGTGCTTCCTAAATACTTTTTTTCCTTTTAAAGAAAGCTTGCTACACTTTTGAAGTTTGTTCTTTCTCTTTCTTTTCCTTTCCTTTCCTTTTCTTTCTTGAGAGGGTCTCACTTTGTTGCCTGTGCTAAAGTGCAGTAGTGCAGTCTCAGCTCCCTGCAGCCTTGACCTTCCAGGGTAACGTGATCCTTCCGTCTCAGTGTTCTGAGTATCTGGGATTACAGGCATGCATCGCCATGCCCCGCTAATTCATATGTCTTTTGCACAGATGGGGTTTGGCCATTTTTCCCAGGATGGTTTCAAACTCCTGGGCTCAAGCACCGCACCCACCTTGGCCTCCCAAAGTCTAAAGATTAAAGGTGTGATCCACTGCCCCTGGCCTGATGGATGCAGCCAATCACAATGGCACGTGTATATCTATGTAACAAACATGCATGTTCTGCACATATACCCCAGAACTTAAAGTATAATAAACAAATAAATAGTTGCACAGTTGATCACATATTTGCTTGCTTTTATTTAAATATAACATAAATTTTATTACTACATTATCATTTCAACCATTTTTTCTATCAGTAAGGATTTTATAAAAAAATAGGTAGGTTTTATCAAGTCTTTGTTTACCTAAATGAAGCATCTCCTATGGTGTTCTGTTGAGGCTCTATGTGACATATTCCCAAGTTTTCTATCATAACTATCTTAACACTGAAATATTTATATGAGGATATTTAAATTTTTTTAATATTGTAAGTATTACACCAAGTAATATACATATTTATGTATATTTTATATATGTGCGTGTGTGTATATATAAGTTTTTGAGATGGAGTCTTGCTCTTTCTCTCAAGCTGGAGTGCAGTGGTGCAATCTCTGCTCACTGCAACCTCCACCTCCTGGGTTTAAGCAATTCTCTTGTCTCATCCTCCCAAGTAGCTGGGACTACAGGTGCGCACTACCAATCCAGGCTAATTTTTTCATTTTTGATAGAGACAGGGTATCACTGTATTGGTCAGGCTGCTCTCAAACTCCTAACCTCAGATGACCCACCTGCTTTGGCCTGCCAAAGTGCTGAAATTAGAACTGTAAGCCAAAGCACCTGGCATATATATATTATAACATATAATACATATGTTTTATATGTGTTTGTGTGTGTATGTGTGTTTGTGTATGTTTGTGTATGTGTGTGTGTGTATGTGTGTGTGTGTATGTGTGTGTGCGTGTGTGTGTGTGTGTGTGTGTGTGTGTGTGTGTGTATATATATATTTTTTTTTTTTTGAGACAGAGTCTTGCTCTGTCACCATGTGCCAGGCTGGAGTGCAGTGGCACAATCTAGGTTCACTGCAACCTCTGCCTCCTCGGTTCAAGCAACTATCCTGCCTCAGCCTCCTGAGTAGCTGGGTCTAAAGGCCTGCACCACCACACCTAGATAATTTTTGTATTTTTTAGTAGAGACAGGGTTTCACCATGTTGGCCAGGACGGTCTCGATCTCTTGACATTGTGATATACCCACCTCAGCCTCCCAAAGTGCTGGGATTACAGGTGTGAGCCACTGCACTTGGCTGCCAATATGTATTTTTTAAATGTATTCTTATTTTTGGTGGAGATTGCAAAGTGGAGTTAGGTACTTTGAAGCTAGTTCCTGACTGAAATATGCACATGCTAATATTCTGCCTGTGAATATGTTTCCTTTGGGCTGCCATGCTTGGATAAGCAAGCCAATGGACATATGAAGACAGCAGATGAGCCTGATCTAGAAAGTGTGGATGACATTCTCTACTGGAATGCTTCGGTTTTCAGTACATGCTTCTCTTATTTTTTAAGTCAAATTAGTTTTAAAATACTAAATTGACATTTTGGAGAGACAGAGTCTTGCTCTGTTGCCTAGGCTGGAGTGCAGTGGCATGATCTTCTCTTGCTACAGTCTCCACCTCCCAGGCTCAAGAAATCCTCCCACATCAGCCTCCCAAGTAGCTAGGAGTACAGGCACATACCACAATGCCTAACTCATTTTGGTTTTTTGTTTTTTTGAAGAAATAGGTTCTCATTATGTTGCTCAAGCTCGTCTTGAACTCCAGGCTCAAGCAATCTACCTACCTTGGTTTTGTAAAGGGCCGGGATTCTGAGAGTGAGCCACCAAGCTTGGGTAAACTGAGATTTATTTAAGTAAATTGATTGGTGCTGGGTGTGGTGGTGCACACTGGTTATCTCAACACTTTCGGAAGCAGAAGCAAAAGGATTACTTAAGACCAGGCATTTGGGTCAGGAGCGATGGCTCACACCTGTAATCTCAGCACTTTGGGAGGCTGAGGTGGGTGGATCATGAGGTCAAGAGATGAAGACCATCCTGGTCAACATGGTGAAACCCCGTCTCTACTAAAATACAAAAACAAATTAGCTGGGTGTGGTGGCATACGCCTGTAGTCCCAGCTACTCAGGACACTGAGGCTGGAGAATTGCTTGAACCCGGGAGGCAGAGGTTGCAGTGAGCTGAGATCATGCCACTGTATTCCAGCCTGATGCCTAATGACAGAGCAAGACTCTGTCAAAAAAACAAAACAAACAAAAAAACACCCCACACCAGGAGTTTGAGACCAGCCTGGGCAATATAGTGGAACCTTGTTTCTATAAAAATAACAAAAAAAAGTAACCTAGAATGATGGTACACAGCTGCAGTTTCAGCTGCTCAGGAAGTTGAGGTGGGAAGATTGCTTGAGGTCGGGAAGTTGAGATTGCAGTGAGCCATAATCATGCCACTACATTCCAGCCCTTGGTGACAGAGTGAGACCCTGTTTCAAGAAAAGAAAAAAAAAAGATAAAGTCTTTATGCAACTCATTATAATTTTTTACATGAAAACTCATGCTTGGTATTACCTCAGCAGTGTGTCCCTGAGAAAGTGCCAGAGCCTTTACGTGGACCTGCCAATGGCAAAACAAAACAAAACAACAAAAACACAGTATAGTCAATGCAAAAGAAGGTAAGAATACTGTTTTATTTAAAAAGTCATTTGATGGAATGTTTTTTTTTTTAAATACGAGCACTCATCAAACAGCTAAAGAAAGCGCTATATTAAATGTGTAGTAAGTATAGGAGAAGTGAAAAGGTGGTAAGTTGTATATGTGATCAGGGTCAGTTGCGTCTATTAGAGCACCACTAAAGGAGCTGAATCATTAGTTCCCATTCTAAGATACTCTAAGATCTGAGGAGTCAGGAAAAAGGGAAGAGGAAATGAAAGACAGAATGAGGAGGGCAGAATGTACATGGAAGAAATGAAGAAACGGTACGTGGGTGTAGGTAAAGGAGGGAAGTGAAGTCACATTGATTTGTAGACGAGGGAAGAGCAGAGTGATAGAAATAGAAGGTAAGTAACGTCAGCTTCCAGCGCCAAATTGTGTCAGAGAATTAGAGTAACATCTTCCTGCTCTTGCTGTCATTCTCACTATTGGAGAGGCATTAGGGACTGAGGTACCTCACCACACAGACCTGTGTTTTATCTCCATAGATGAATATCACATAAATGGTCAGTCATGTATGGCTGTAATTTAGTTTTATAGAACATGTTATAACTTCATTAGATAGTATCATATAGCCAAATTAACATAACTGAATAGTGCCGTGTGATTTATGGAGAGGAAGGTAGAGAAGGGATAGCCTGATGAAAAGTTTATTAGAAACATTATGGCTTATAATGCAGAATTAAATTCAGGGACTTAATAGGGAAGAAAATGAGGCTAAGTTCCAGATGGGCAATGAAGGTAAACAAATGTGGAAGCACATTAGTGTAGAACAGGGCATCCAAGTTTTCATGAACTAGTTGAAGAGCTTCTGTAAAACTGACATTGTCATTCAGCACGTGTGGGATTCTGCCCTTCTCAGGAGTACTCAGGTGGTGTTGGTGCTGCCCTTGGACACAGCTCTGAACAACAAGGAAATAGCCTTCCTTTAGAGAAATCTGGAAAAGAACCACTGGATAGCGATTTTAAAAACAGAATCAAGGGAAGGCATTAATCTCCTTTTATTTCTGATGTAGGATTCTGGCCACGGAGGAGGCTGAATGAGATGAAAACAGAAATTACTGGTGTATACTACTGCTGAATACAGATGCTGAAAACAGATGAAAAAGTTGGTGGCAATTATCCATAAAAAGCAGTTAGAAAGAGAAGCATCAGGATGACAGATCTAAAGATTACTTTTGCAAAGGAAGAGGGAGTGTGAAAGGGCAGGGAGGAGGGAAGAAAAAAAGTGTGTTGGGGGACTTTGGAGTTCAAACCAAGGAAGCTTGAGACGCCTCACTTCCAGTTCCTTGGGCACATGCCCAGTCTAGCAAAAGCGGTTGTTGCTGAGAGTACTGGAGGCAGGAGGAGTGCTGAATTGGGGTAAACCACAGCAGCTAATTTCTCTTCATAACTGTCAGGCCACAGAGCAAGAAGTCTCATTGACATGAGTGAATACAATGTGATTAAGATGCATTTTGGCTTTTTTGGGTGGGGGGGGGGGTTCAGCCAGTTCTTTGATATGATATCTGTTTTATAAAAGTCATTTACGGAGTAACATGACATGCCAAACTTACCTAATTTTAGAAGCAGTCATACTATAAAATTTATTCTGTGAATACCAAAATTGTCATTTTCTAGGAACACTGCACTGATTATGAAATATAAAAGTTTATTCTTTACTATCAAGACTGTGGCAATTCAATGTTTTCTCTTTTGATAAATATTTTGATATTGAAAGCTTATTCTATATGGTTTATTTGATGTGTTTTAAGTCTTGAATGAGTGAATAAAGGAACTCTTAAGGTCAAACTAGAGGATATGAGAAATGTAGGTGCTTGAGTAGGCACGTGGGCATGGGAAAATGAGAATTTGGAGAAACTTATTTCATAAGTGTGTATTATAGCTGATCAATTTAGAACACTTTTTTTTTTTGAGACGGAGTTTCACTCTTGTTACCCAGGCTGGAGTGCAATGTCACGATCGCGGCTCACCGCAACCTCCGCCTCCTGGGTTCAGGCAATTCTCCTGCCTCAGCCTCCCAAGTAGCTGGGACTACAGGCACGCACCTCCATGCCCAGCTAATTTTTGTATTTTTAGTAGAGACGGGGTTTCACCACGTTGACTAGAATGGTCTCGATCTCTTGACCTCGTGATCCACCCGCCTCAGCCTCCCAAAGTGCTGGGATTACAGGCGTGAGCCACCGTGCCCGGCCCCAGAACACTTTCTTTGATGAGAGGTGAATCTCACATTCACCTGAACTTGCATCCCAACTGTGTATTTCCTAAATGATAGCACAAGGGGAAGCACATGATAAATATTTCCAGTGTTCTGGCATCAATGCCTCTGACGTTTTAAGTTTAAATACTCTGGCATTCACCATCGGTCTTGACATTGATTCTCTCAGGTTATGATTTGCTCCATTGTTTGATGGTCCCTTTTATCCTCGTCAGCCCAAAGTGTTCACATTAATATCCATACTTTTCAATTTTAGTTATAGGCATTTGAAACAATCACTTTTGAAATATAAACTTGTGATTTAGGGATCCTATATTCCTATTTTACTCAGTATATTTCCATCACGTTGCTGTCCTAGGCAATGAAAAGAAGATGCCAAAAAGAACCCTGAAAACCTTAAGTAATTGTTTTCATAGCCAAGCATGAGGACAGCTTGATATCAACACTGCACGAATGTTTGGTTGGCCCTGTCATACCTACATATAATTGATGACACGTCCCCTTTGATTTGTAGAGCCTCCTGAATAACACCCTTCCTTGAAGGTAATTATATATATTTATTTTTAATTACTAACTTTATATTGTATAAAATATATTTGGTTTATTATTTTCTTTTAAGACCCATTCAGCCTACCACTGAAACGGAAGATCCTGTTGAGAGAAGCAGTACAGAGAAAGAATGTACAGACATTGAGAGCAGGTACATTTTCAGTACAAATGGAATGCTGGCAATAAGTGATTGGAAGTACTCACATTCTTCTTACCCCTTAGAAGTATGAGAGATCAAGATTTTAAAAATATGAGCTTTAACTCATGTTTTTATTTTAATATTTTGAATAGCATAACATTTCCAATATGGAATTTTTATACTTGTCAGGGATTCAAAGCAGTGAATTTTGAGACTCTGAGATATTTCCAGTGTCTTATGTGCTATTTAGACTTCTGCTATTTACCTAAAGGAATGCTGTACTTAGATGTCAGTTTCTGAATTAACATAAGAGACTTCCTGTTAATGTCATTACACCGATGACCTGAAGCCTGAGATGTTCTAATAAGCAGACTGTGCATGCCTGCGTACGGGTGTGTGTGTGCGAGTGTGTTTGTGGCATCTTTGATTATTAAAAACTATAATAATTCATTCATAACTGGAAGATAGTCTTTTAAAATGGTGGTTTTGAGACTTTTTGGTATAAAAGGTTTTAAAAAAAAATAATTGTGACCAACATCATGAACATCATTGAGGCTACCAACATCATTGGCTGTTTTCCATTTCAATACCCTTTTGAAATCCTTAACTTGTATTGTGATGCTCAGAAATAATATGCAGAATTTTTATTTGTGTCCTAAAATAAAAGGTAAGTGGTTCTACCCTTTACATATCTTTCTGCCACTTTCTTTTGTGCTCTTTGTATTCTATTTTCCAGATGTATCCATATTGATAAGGTTAGTTCTGGTTTAATTCATTTTACCCTTTTCGTTGTATTCCCTTATACCACTCTACCACATTTAATTAGACTCTCCTGTTGCTGAAAAATGAAGAAAGAAAAAGAAAAAAAGAAAAATAGGATGGGTGTGGTGGCTGACACCTGTGATCCTAGCATTTTGGGAGGCTGAGGTGGGTGGATCATGAGGTCAGAAGATCAAGACCATCCTAGCCAACATGGTGAAACCCCATCTATTAAAATATAAAAAATTAGCTGGGCATGGTGGCTTGTGCCCGTAGTCCCAGCTATATGGGAGGCTGAGACACAGAAATCGCTTAAAACTGGGAGGCGGAGGTTGCAGTGAGCCAAAATTGTGCCACTGCACTCCCGTCTGGTAGCAGAGCAAGACTCTGTCTCAAAAAGAGAAAAGGAAAAAACAAAGTCAGGTTAAAAGGGGCTTTTGTTTAATCAGTCTGTATCTGTGAATATTTACTATATGAGTTTAAGGCTGAGAAGTTCAGAATGCAAGCATGCACCGCCGTATTTTACAAATGCCCTTAGAATTATGACTCATGAGCCTTTAGCCTATGAAGTTATGACAATTCTTTTCTCTAAATAAGTTTACTGTTCTCTTTAAAAAAAAAAAAAAAAAAACTGGGAATAGCAAATGACACTGTCTTATTTGACCTCTTATACATCCTCGAATGAAACTGCAACTTACTCATGTCAAAATTCAGAACCAGCGTTTTGAGCAATATATATAGTTTGTGAATATCTCGTGATCATGAGCCCTTGATGATGAAATGGCCTTTCAAGTTTTACTTTTGCATTTTTTGCTTTTTCTTGACTTGTCTTACAAAATTTTAAATTCAAAACTTCTATTTCTACAGAAATCAGGAATATAACTTTTAAATATATTTCTGTCCTGTCTCACGGCATTGAGAGCTCTCAAGATCTAGTGTGGACCTAGACTTACTTTTACATGGGAACAATGAGGTTTGTTTCTTTGTTATTGCTGTTGAGACAGAGTCTTGTTCTGTGATGTGGTTCAGAGTGGATAAGCTCTTAAAGCAGTCATCTTTCCCGTGGTTCTTTGTGTGGGAGGTAAAGTGGCAGATGAATTTGGGCCTTGTTATACGTAGGGCAGAGCACATAGCTACAACTAAGTGAAACACCCAGCACCTTCCCCAAGAGTACTGGCCAGAGTAACACATTAGTATCTCTTGAGCTCTTCTCCACTGGCAGTTGGAAACTTTTTGCAAGAATCCCTGTTTCTCATGTGATTCCTATGTTTTGCTGACTTCTGGTGATAGGGTGTTTTCTCCTAAACTGAGCAGTTCTGCCTGAAGAGCTAGAGAGAATGTGTTGTGTTAAAATGAAGTAAGTGCAGTAGTCCCCCAGTGAATGCCTGAAAGCACAAATAGTACTGAATCACTCACTGTTTATTTTCCTATACTTACATATCTATGTTAAAGTTTAATTTATAAATTAGGTGCAGTAAGAAATTCACAACTAAAAATAAAATGAAAAATTATAGTAATATGCTGTAATAAAAATTATTTGAATGTGGTCTCTTAAAATGTATGGCTCTCACCCTTTTTCCTGTGATAATGTGACACAATGCCTGTGTCATCAGATGAAATGAGGTGAATGATGTGGGCATTGTCATGTAGTGGTAGGCCACTATTCACCCCCTGACTCTAAGTCAGAAAAAAGATTATCAGCTTGGAGTGTTCCTAGACCTTCAGGCCTTAATATGTTGATGGCTGGATGCAGGAGACCATGTTGATGACTAATGGTGGGACAGCACATGCAGTGTGAATGCACTGGACAAAGGAATGATTCACATCCTGGGATGATAGAGGACAACAGCTCAAGATTTTACTGTGCTTCTCAGACTAGGATACTAACACTTAGGACTTGTTTATGTCTGGAGTTTTCAATGTAATCTGTTTGGAGTACAGTTAACTGTTAGTAGCTATAACCACATAATTCAAAACTGCAGATGTAAAATCTGTGTTTGGACCTCGAGTCATTTCTTGGTGTACAATTCTTAAATTCCTTAGAATTTCCAAAGTGATGTCTTTTGATATGCTAATGAATGAAGACTGGAAACTCCTAGATAGATTCAGGATGGGAACTGGTCACCATCCTGAAGACATGACTGATTAGAGGGCTGAGATCTTCTGTCTCGCTCTGTGAACTCTGTGGAGTAGAGGAGGGCTGAAGGTTGTCAATCACCAACAGCCAGTGATTAATTAGTGATGCCTATGAATTGAAGCTTTCATAAAGTCCCAAAGGGACTAGGCTTGGAGAGCTTCCAGATCTCTGAATACATGGAGGTTCCTGGAGGGTGGTGTGTCCTGAGAGGGCATGGAATCTGTGCCACTATCCCCATACTTAGCACTATGCATCTCTTCATCTGTACCTTTCGTAATGTCATTCATAGTACGCTGGTAAGTGTATTTGCCTGAGTACTTCAACCCATTCCAGCAATCCAATTTAACCCAAAGAGGGAGTCCTGGGAACCCCAATTTGAAGCTGACTGGTCAAAAGTTCTGGAGTTTCAGACTTAGGACCCACATAGGTAGGCAGTCTCGTGGGACTGAGCCCTTTACCTGGGGAATCTGATGCTATCTGCAGAGTTTGAGAACTGAGTTAGATGACACCCAGTTTGTGTCATCTGCAGAAGTGATTGCTTGCTAGCTGGTGGGGAAAACCTCTCCACCTGTTTGCTCACAGAAGCCTTCTTTGTTGATGATTGTTGCTGTGGTGTGAGAGCAGAGAAAAACGTGGCAAGTGTGTCTTTTTCAACATACAGCGGATAAGGGAACTGCCTGCTGTAACTGCTGTAACTGCCCTCTCATGCCTTGGTCCAGGAATCATGCTGTTTGACACTGTCACTTATTCCACCTGTTCCGCTAACAATACCATTTTGAGCCAATCTCATAGGATTTGGCTAGGATGACGTGTATACTGCAGTTCACTTGTAGATATCAAATTTTGATAAATTTATTCTTCTTTGTATTTAATAAATAGAAAGGGAAGTAAGAGTTCTTACTGCATTAATTACATGCCGATAGATATAATTTATATTAATCTAATAAGGTCCCAGGTATGCTCTCAAATGAATGCTTTGTAACAAAGCATAAGTACTATACTTTAAAGAAAAATGATTTAAATCATGTAAACAACTGTGCATACTTTTTTTTAAAAAATAAAGATCGAGTCTTGCTATGTTTCCTAAAGCCTCAAACTTGTGGGTTTCTCAAGTGATCCTCCTTCCTCAGCCTCCAAAATGTTGAAATTACAGGCATGCATCACTGTACTTTCTTATGGTTTTACTATTCTATACATTATTGACTTAAAATGCATTTTACCTCTTCCTGTAATAGATTCTGGGAGTTCTGATGAATCTGGAGTCAGGTAGGATTTTACAGATTTAAAAAATTATGTTAACTAAGAAAATATAGACGGAAGAAAGTAGTATCTGTTGAGTTTTGTATTCTGGGCTCAATAACCTATTGTGTGCTATACATTTATCTCATAAAGCCATCACAACATCTGTTTTCTTATAACCTACTTTTATTAAATAGGCAACTGTGGTTTAGAGATGTTAATTGGATCATGATCCCAGAGTTGACAAAGCAATTGACCCACAGTTTGACTCTCAGCCTATCTGGCTGTCAAATCTTTTATCTTGCTCCTCAGTACAGATTGATGGAGATACCTATACAGCACTTTGACCAATTTAAGGTCTGAATAAGATTAGTCAGATTAATTTTAATTAATGTTTAAATAAGTTAAACTTTCATTCTAAGTTACCGTTAGAAATGAGGTTAGTCATTGAGTTTGTCCTAATAAATTTGAAAATCTTTGTGGTAACCAGCATCTTCAGAATCTTTTTTTTTTTTTTTTTTTTTTTATTAACCATCAAAGCCTTCAGGGCAGAGTAAAGTTTGGCCCCAGGACTGGAAGCTTTACAAAACCAAGATTTGGCAAGTCTTGGAGAGAAATCATTTAACTTCCCAGTTTTGTTTTCTCTTTAGGATCGTATTTCTGCCTACTTCCATAATGCTTTATTATTATTTCTTTTTCCATGACTTTTCTTCCTTGGTGTTTCTTTTGTTCTGTTTTGAAATTCTGCTGGTTATATATTTCCAATTTTCCTGTAGACAGAACCAAAAGCACATCAAATTACAAAAACTGAAGGAACCTTAGGACGAATTAAAATATCTTCTAGTACTTCAATCTGTGTTGAATGTTCTGCTCAGATAATTTTCTAGATAGAGAACTTGAGACTCAAAGAAATTAGGATGTTTTTGGACATAAAATGTAGTAGAAATGAGATTTGAGCTCATTTTAACGCTCAATACTTGGCCAGGCGCGGTGGCTCACGCCTGTAATCGCAGCACTTTGGAAGGCCGAGGTGGGTGGATCACGAGGTCAAGAGATGAGACCATCCTGGTCAACATGGTGAAACCCCGTCTCTACTAAAAATACAAAAAATTAGCTGGGCACAGTGGCGCGTGCCTGTAATCCCAGCTACTCAGGAGGCTGAGGCAGAATTGCCTGAACCCAGGAGGCGGAGGTTGTGGTGAGCCGAGATCGCGCCACTGCACTCTAGCCTAGGTAACAAGAGCGAAACTCCGTCTCAAAAAAAAAAAAAAAAAAAAAAAAAGCCTCAATACTCTTCCTTCATTTTTTATTCTATTGACATTTTGATGTTGTTTTTTGACAGAGTTTCGCTCCTGTTGCCAGACTGGAGTGCAATAGCACAATCTCAACTCACCGCAATCTTCACCTCCCAGGTTCAAGTGATTCTCCTGCTTCAGACTCCTATGTATCTGGGAATAAAAGCATGCGCCACCATACCCGGATAATTTTGTATTTTTAGTAGAGACAGGGTTTCTCCGTGTTCGTCAGGCTGGTCTCGAACTCCTGACCTCAGGTGATCTGCCTGCCTCGGCCTCCCAAAGTGCTGGGATTACAGGGTGAGTCACCACGCGTGGTCTGGCATGTTTTAATGATACAAAGGGGGAGTGGTCTGGTGCACCTAGTTGATAGAATGAGAAGGGAATTAGCTGGTGAACCCAATGGAAATGGCTGAGAATGGAATGAGCAGGGGAAGGCCAAGTTTGAAGAGAAAACGACACTGTATACAGACTGTTCAATACGAGATTAGAATATTGGGGTTTATGACAAGTCTGATAAAGATGAAGGATGCAAGATACTGGAAATTAACTATAAAGGCATTTTAAAATAGAGGATTCAAGGAAGCTCTAAACTGCTGTGCTCTTTTTATTCAAGAACTGAAGATTTTTGCTGTAAGATTCTAGAACATTTGGAGACACTGGGAGGAGTCTCTACAGCTGACAGAAATGTGGTATCTAATTCCATCACGACTTAGAGGAGTGGCTTAGAGCCCCTTGAGTACTGATGCACTGGAGATTGCTTAACTACATAGATCTGTGGCCCAGAGCAGGTGTCTCCTCATCTCTGCCTCTTTTCCCAATTCACAGATGTCCTTCCCATATCCATGTAGGCTGGGTCAGGGGCATCACTGGCTGTCACATCAGTTCAGCTGGGGAGTTGGAGCTGTGTCTGTGCTGGTAGATAGTAGCAACTCCAGTTAGGTTGTTACTCAGGAGCAGGGATATAGAGCACTCCCACTCCTGGTCATTTGAGGCCATCCTTTCAGTGCTTTCAAAGACTGAAGATTTGAAGACTGGAAACTGCCTTGGAGCCCTGCATAAGTGGAATCTGGAAGTGGGAACCCATAGGGAGAAAGGTACTTTGTACTTGGGGAAATAGAGGTACAACTGCCAGGACTGTTTTTCCAGCAGTCTCTCTCGATGGATATCTGAGTGCCTATAAAGGTTTTTAAGGGCTTACTAGTTTATGTGGACCTGAACAAGGTAGGACCTATAGAGTGAAAGTAACTGCATTTTTATAGTTGTTAATATTTTAATCTTCCTGGGAAGAGTATCCTCAATAAGAAAATACACCTTATTAGACTTCTGTACATTTAGCTCTCACACATTTCAAATATAGCAGGGGATTCTCTGCACTCTTTTGGGACAAAAAAAAAGCATTGGGAACTTCTTAAGTGGTTTTCATGCTGAGGAGTCAAGACTGCCATTTTGAAGTGACACAGATTAGTCTTTTAACCAGAGATAGACAATGGACAAGAGACAGTGGATCTTCCTATCTTGTTTTAGGTCATAAAACACCTTCCAGTTTAGGTGACAAGTTATGTCATCCATTAATTGAATTTCATGTTCTGCTTCAGGACAGATAATTTGTGAGGGTAAATTACTGTCAAGCTCTGCAAACATATTGGCTGCCACTGTTTGTTATGGAGCTCAAGGTCAGTTTTGATAGAATATTTTATAGATTTAGACAGCTGGAGGCAGAAACAGGTAACTAAAATCTATTTTTAGAACAGAGGCCATAGTTTAACTGTATCAAGAAATGTTATTAAATGTACAGATGGCTGACCTTTTCCCAGATTGTGTTTTTGTTTTTTGGAGGGAAAAGCTGAATATGAACTGGCAGTTAAAAAAAAACAAACTTCCTCATTTTTATTGTCTATGTTTGCTCTAAAGCATTTTCCATGAACTGTGAACTGTGTGTGGATTCATGTCCTAACCCAGATGATGAAGAATAGACTGTGACTACCAAGGTAAAGTGGTCTCATAAAACCTTCTCAGTCAACTTTTGCGTAGTATTTACTTTTAAAATTTAGCAGTGACTTAACTACTATTGTTTATGATGGTTATGGAAAGTTGGTCAGAGAACACCATAGACATATGGCTACTTGATTTAGAAAATTTATTTAATGTTGGTACTAACAAAAATTGATAAGTACTGTGACAGGGTCGGGGGTAGACAAAAATGAACTGAAACATACATAGCAACAGAAAAATCACATTAGGAAATGCTTTCTCCAATAGAGAAAATATGAGATTTGGTTAAGGTTTAATTAAATATTAATACTTTGACTTTCAAATCATACTAGTGTAACATCTGTATTTTTGCCAGTACAAATCTTCAGTGGATCAAATTACTTGTCATCACAGAAGCTCCTTGGCACCTTTTAGTTGAAAAACCGTACAACAAAGAGCACATAGCTGCTTTCCTTGGACATCTATTATTTGGGTATTATATACTTGGTGGGAGAGATTGTTCCTCTATTTATATTATTGGCTCTGTAGTGAGACTAAAATATTAAAAATGGTAGGAAAAATAGCTGGGTGTGGTGATTTACACCTATAGTTCCAGCTACTTGGGAGTTTGAGGCTGCCTGAGACCAGAAGTTTGAGAACCACTTGGGCAGCATAACAAGGCTGCATCTGATTTATTAAAAATTATACCAGCCGGGCGCGGTGGCTCAAGCCTGTAATCCCAGCACTTTGGGAGGCCAAGGCAGGTGGATCACGAGGTCAAGAGATTGAGACCATCCTGGTCAACATGGTGAAACCCTGTCTCTACTAAAAATACAAAAAATTAGCTGGGCACGGTGGTGCATGCCTGTAATCCCAGCTACTCAGGAGGCTGAGGCAGGAGAATTGCCTGAACCCAGGAGGTGGAGGTTGCAGTGAGCTGAGATCGCGCCATTGCACTCCAGCCTGGGTAACAAGAGCGAAACTCCGTCTCAAAAAATTAAAAAAAAAAAAATAGTAAAAAATAAAAAATTATACAAAGTTCTGCAGTACATATGCAGAAAGTGGGTTTGTTACATAGGTATACATGTGCTATGGTGGTTTGCTGTATCCATTCTCATCATGTATATTAGGGATTTCTCCTAATGTTATCCCTCCCCAATCCTCCTACTCCCTGCTATCCCTCCCTTACCCCGTACTCCTCCCAACAGTCCTTGGTGTGTGACGTTCCCCTCCCTGTATCCCTGTGTTCTTACTGTTCAACACCCACTTATGAGTGATAGCATGCAGTGTTTGGTTTTCTGAGAATGATAGTTTCCAGTTTCATCCATGTCCCTGCAAAGGACAGAAACTCATCCTTTCTTATGGCTGCATAGTATTCCATGGTGTGTATGTGCCACATTTTCTTTATCCAGTCTATCATTGATGGGCATTTGGGTAGGTTCCAAGTCTTTGCTATTGTGAACAGTGCCTCAACAATCATATGTGTGCATGTGTCTTTATAACAGAATGATTTATAATCCTTTGGGTATATACCCAGTAATGGGATAGCTGGGTCAAATGGTATTTCTAATTCT